CAGTTTACCGCCCCGAGAGGAGTCTTCAAAGAACTCTCTTACTAACTTCCCTACGCAGTTACCGGGATGTCGCATCGGTTTCAACTTCTTAACGTCTGGCGTCTTTATCTCGTACGCACCGTAAATGACTACGGTAACCGGGTAAGCAACCTCGTAAAACAGCATGTCTATTCCTACCAATGCTCCGGGGCGTGTGTTTTCGTTTAAGACAAACAGGTCCTTCTTACCAGACGCCCTGATAGGATTGCGCCCCTTTTCTATCATCCACTCGCCGTCTAAATACTTTATGAACGTTAGCTCCAACCGGTAGTTACCTTCRGGTATTAAGTTAATTATTCTTTCAGCCCTTTCTTCTGTCATCGTCTCGTCCGTATCTCCCTCCATAAATGTTGTGAAGGCAAAGTCAGCATCCAGGCGATCCAACACCTGAGTTCGCAGTCGGCGCACAGTTTTATTTCGAATGCTTGTGATGGTGTCCATCTATATGTAAAGGATATCTTAACCTCCGTTTGCGGTTCGACAACTAGCAGCAGTAAGGGACTTGTCGCGCGGCTTATTCCCGCTGCCGGCGCCTTCCTTAAACCGCCTGTAAAACCTGTAAAACCCGTAAATCTTTGACATCGACCGCGAGTCCCCCTTACTGCTGCTATATAACATAATTGCTGTTAAAAATTCAGAGATTCGTAAGACCTTATATTCAAAACCACAACACCATTCGACGATCGGTACGGCTCCAAGTCGCATTCTGTATGAAGTAAAGCATAGTCGATCGCATTCAAAATCATTTATTTATTGTCGCCAACCATGGAGTAAATTTCTACATTGGTCTTAGGTATGTAGCCTGTTTGATTCCGCCTGTTCGACTGTGCGCACTATTGTATTGATCAGGATATATTAAAAATATAGTTCAGAGTGGCAATGAAAGGCGTAGCCTCCTTTGCTGCCGTTCTTAGGGTCGACGACTAAGAACGGCTGCAAAGGAGGCTACGAAAGGCGCAATAAGTTTCAATAATTGGCGCATGCGTAAGTGGCAATAAAAGGCGCGATAMGTTTCAATAAATGGCACATGCGGTTTTTTTTTCGTTCAGAGAAAGATGATCTCCTCCACCAACATGAAACCAGAAAATGGTAACAGCCACTACAAGAATTGCGAGGTTCTTCCCATCCAGTCGTAAATGTTGGCCATAAAGAACATAAAATAGCGCTTGCCATGAAACCAGTCATTGCCTCATTACGGGGACGAACTCTTGAACTCCATTGACGAAATTTCTTGCAAAATATTCCCCATATTTTTTTTTCTTTTTAACTTGTACTACTGGTTTTGTATTGTTTTTATTATTATTATTTTTTTAATTTTAATTTTAATTTTAATTTTAATTTTAATTTT